GGCACTCGTGACCTTGCGTATGGTCCTGAGGCCAATACATGTCAGTCCCCAAAACATACAGGGCGGGGAACATACACAAGCCAAGTCCTCGGGGGTCATACTAGAAGATGTGCAGACTTCTCTACAAGTCACTTAAACTGCAGACACGGTACATTTTTATTTGTTTGAGTCACACATTTACTTATTCAATAAATACTTACTGAGCACCTACTATGTGCAAGGCCTGTGGTGTGAGTAAAAAACTGAATCATAGTTGCCACTGCATGCTTTGGAGAGGCCCATTAGTAAGGCCCAATTCCCACCTCTGCTGCTCTCAATATGAGCAATCAATCAGAAGGAAATGAGCAGGTGAAAGGGCTACTTTGTACTTTAAAAATGCTAGGAATCCTACAGATACTAGAGAACCCATGGGTAAATAAACCAACAATTAAGAAACCCCCAAAGCAACAGAGGGCAAACAAGAAGATAATCCTTTAGTTTTTAAGCTAGGTGCTAGAGTACTATGAAAGTGTGAGAGAATTTGATCGGTTTTAACTAGACAGTATCTATTGCTTTCTTAACTGGAGTCCCACATTATAAGGCACTTAGGAATATATGAAATGGCCTCCAAGGTATAGATGAAGAACAATAGGAAACCCAATGGAAAGTGTAATCCAGTGGGTACATATCTAGCACCACTGTCGCCACCACAAACAACTTTTTCCAACTTGCTACACCATTATTTTTATCATGCTCCAGGTGAGCAGACAAACCCCACCACGCCACATGCAAAGTGCATGCTTCTGCAGAAGGAAGGAGTGTAGCAGAGATGCACAGAAAGCCCAGGTTGTGTGGTCATACAGACATAGGGTGAAAAATCTGTCCCATCCCAGTACTTATTAGACGTGTCATATGAAGAACTTCCCTAACCCAGCTTTAGCACGTGCGCAATACTTACTAAAAGCTGGTTCTAAAATAACGAATATAGAGAATCTAACTTGGATCTTGACATGTACGAAGTGTTGGTAAATATCAATTCCCTCTGGTAGATTTCTAGAGTGTCGGTCTGTGAAAGGTCTACCCTCATCCTCAGTCTATTTCTTCCCATTCTGTTTGGTTTGCTGTTTCTTTAGTAATGACAGATTTTGAGCATAGTTCTCACAATAGAAGATGCTCAGTGTCTGTTTCATTTACCAAACAAACATTTATTACATACCTTTTACGTGCAATATGGTGTATCAGGACCAGAACAGATATCGATCCTTTCTGAAAACATCTTTGTAATTTAGAAAAGAAGCCAAATGGCCATCGAAAGTAGAAAGTGCTTCATAATTTAAGAAAAGCCAAGTACAGTAACCCCAAACAAATGGGAAATTATTTCCATCTGAGACAATCAGGGAAGACTCCTTGAAGGAGGTGGCACACGAAGCAGGTTTTAAAGATGGTTAGGGTTTACGCATGTGAAGCTGGATAAAGGGCATTAGCTAGAGAGTTATTACAGAGAAGGAAATGGATTCAAGAAAACATTTTTGGAGAGAATTCCAAGTGGTTTCCTGTGTCTAAGTATGGGGTGAGTGAAGTAGAGCAAAGACAGTGTTGAAGGGCAGGTTGCATCAGACTGTACAGGATCTGGGGGCCAGGCTACCTCTGGATATTATCTGCAGGCACCAGAGCAGCTCTGGGTGTTCATAAGTGAGGAAACAGCACAACCAACAAGTCTGAAGCTCTCTTTGTCCATGGTCTACCTGAGCAGCCCGGGGCCTGCTCTCACTAATGGTGGTATGATCTCAATGTCGGGCCAGGTGACAGCAGCTCATCCCAATGTCCCGAGCAGAAATTGTATGGTTTCAACTTTGACGTTCATATTGTCCCATGATGCCCTGTGGACTTTCTTTGTATTCCAAATTCCTTGAGGGAATCCGTGCTGACGTCATGAGTGGTTGACATAATCTGAATCCAAACAAGACCAAACCTTTCACAACCCAGCTTATGGTTCCTGCTACGTGTTCATGTTTAGCATCGTGATCACTCATCTGCTCCCAGGGGAGCGGTCATTCAGCACTTACCATTAGAAGTTTACAATTTTGTTAAAACAGCCAGAAAACTTTCAGGCATATCAACAAACAATTCTCAAGAGGAGACATGGGCTCTTCAGTACATTTGAGAAGTAGAGGGAGAAATGTCACTCTCAGGGGAAAAAAAAAAAAAAAAAAAACTTGTCACCTTTTTAAAAATTTCATAAAAAAAGAAAGAGAAGACAATTCCTTATGGTAAATCATCTTCAAGACTTTAACACAATTACATTCATCTAGAGGAAGAAAAGAAAACCAGTAGAGGGAGAAAGGTCACTCTCAGGGAAAAAAAAAAAAAAAAAAAACCCTTGTCACCTTTTAAACAGTTTCATAAAATACTACGAGCCAGAGTGAGTTCTCCGTACCACTACAAAGGCAATACATCATGCATGTCCCAACTACGCGATTTATCAGAGGTTGTTTGTTATCGGTCTCTTTATTGGAACAATTCAGTTTAGTTTGAATGACTTATGCCATCATTTCACTTATTCATTCTATGCAGGAAAAAAAATATATATATATATACATACCAGCAAATTGCAGGAGGAGGAGAGAGATAAAAGAAATAGAAGCAAGGAGAAAAGTAATGAGGATGCAGAAAGATGCACAGATGAAAGAAGCAGGAAAGTGAAGACGAAGCCCATGCTGTTGGACATAATCCATGCTCTGCCTGATTGACAATATACAAGGGTGGCTGAATGAATAACCAGAACCAATTAAATGTACCGAGAGCCCACTATGAGCCAAGTGCTAAAGACACAAAGATGAATAAAAGAAAGCTCCTGCTCCTAACCAGCTCCAAGTTTAGATGAGGAGACGGATAACTAAACAAGTAAATCACAATCCAGAGTTCTAAAATGCTGTAAGGAGGAACTATGGAAAAAGCTTTGAGAGAAGTCCCAGAGAGAGAAAGGGTTCTTGAGAGGCGTGCTATTTGGGTGCCTTTCGGTAATCACTGAGCATCTCTGAACCTCATCTTAAAAAGTGATTACATGTAGTTACTTATCTTTAGAGGTTGTTTTAGGATTAAATGAATGCATGGTTGAAAATCCACACTGCAAACTCCAAGTCCTATGTAGCAAGGTATATGAGAGGATTATTTCCCATTCGAGCAAAGGCCTGTGAGGTGTTTATTTTGTGCATGGGGTACCAATACTGTGGGGTTGAGCACTGACCCTTCTCTGGCTTCTCCCTGTCCCTCCGCCCATCCCGCGTGTTACCACAACCAATCTGATGTCCGGCTGTGTGTTGACACAGCACACCCACAAAGACACAACCTGAAAAATAATATGAAACACTCACCAACTTCAGGTTGCCTCCATTGTTCATGTCCACAGAAGGCTGTAAGGTGAGGGGCTCGGCACCCAGGGGGAGTCTTCCTGCTAAATCTGACATCCCTGTCCACCCCCCCACCCCACCCCCCTTCCTGTCCTTCTCATCCTCCTCTTTCCTGCTTCTCCTCACCCTTCTCCGCCTACTTCTCTCTACCTGTTACAGTTTTTCTGTGCTCTCTGCTTTTACTCCCATCCCCAGCTGGGCATTGACACTTCTCTTGTTTGAGTACAGAGTAATGTAATTTCTCAGATCTCCTAGAAATTACTCTCATACTCTTCTGTCTCCTTCCTTACCCCCTTCTTCCTTTTCTCCCTCTTCTCTCCCCAGCCCTCTTTTCGTGCCCACCCCTTTCCTTTCCTCCCCTCTCTCCCTTTTCTCCCTTGTCTTCCGATTTGGCGATTCTCTCCCTGGTCCATCCCCTTAGGGAACCGAAGCTCAGGTTCCATTTCTCTTTTGAGTCTCACACCCCACCCCACCCCCACCCTCTCTGGGTTCTAGCACTCCCTTCTCGTCCTTTCCTCTCCCACAGAGGAGCGCACTGGGAAGGCTGGTGACGTTCTCCTGGGACCTCTGGGTCAGTCCACATAGCTGCTCCCAGCTCTGCTCAGCAGCCCGTGACCTCACTGCATTTTGCACATGTGATTGGCTACTTCAAGGCGCTCTGGCGGGAGACCCTGAATAGATTCACACTGCCTGTTTCTTTGTCCCTCTGCCTCTTCAGACTGGGTTGGAAAACAGACCCGTGGCTCTGCAGCACTTCATGAATGGGTTTAGGGGCTACCTACTAGGAAAGGAGGTGGTGACTCAGGCTCTGAGGTTAAAGAGAAAAGGGCTTTTGGTGTGTCAGGGAAGGAGCAAAGTGGGTGATGCCATGATTATTATGACTGAGAGTGGAGTGGGGAGAGTTAAGGGGGATTTGCATATACCCATTGGAGGTCACAAGCTGGCAAGGCGTGGTCCGACTTTCAGCTCTAAACATGGTTTCTTTCTTCAATACTGAGGCCTCTCTCACCTTGAAACAAATAGAGCTTTGGATTGGAATCAGGCGTTTGATTCCTGGTCCTTGTTCTTCTATTTGTATGACCTTGGGGACATCACTCCCTTCTGTTCCACTCTGCAGAATTGGAATGATCATGCCAGTGTGCTTGTTTTACAGGTTTATTAACAGGATTAAGCATGAAACCTTTCTTAGTGGATGATATGGTACAGCAGAAAGAATCCCGGGAAAGGAACGGAACATCTTGGGTTAGCTTTCATTTTTCTGTAGTGACCTTCACCAAGTCACTTTTAACCGTGACGGGTTTCACTGTTCTCATCGTGAAGTGGGAGAACTGGGCTGGACTATCGCGAAGTCTTGTTGGTTCTAACTTTACACGACTGACTGATAAAACTTAGCACCTTCCTTTGATTCACCCAGCCAGAGAAGTTCAGGTCCTTTATCAGGACTCCAGTTAGTTTCTCCCCTTGGTGAGAAACCCACCTTCTCTCAGGGATCCTGGTACACCTACTCCGCACAGGGGTTAGCCTCTCCCACACCCTCCACAATGAAAGCAGACCCCCAAACTGTAGCAGCGAACATGTAGGGCTCATCCTTGATGGAGATTCTCTCCCCAGGCTACTGGCAGGAGCAGGATTTGGAGCTGGGAACTCTGGCTCCGCTCGACGAGGCCATCAGCTCCACAGTCTGGAGCAGCCCTGACATGCTGGCCAGTCCAGGTGAGAATTCAGGCCCCTCATCTCAATGTCCCTCAGTCCCCCACTCATCCTCACATCATCTCCCACTCATGGTGCCTCCACTCTATGTTCTCACTCCCTCCATTACCACACAGCTCCTTCTTCTTTCCATTTGATTTTAGTTCTTAGTTCTGAACCACCAACTTCTCTTGCATCCACTCCTTCTTCCCCTACTCCACGACAGAGATCTCTGTATGACCAACACCTCTTTCCAAAACTGAAATGAATATATTACTGAGAACAAAAGGAGGCCCTAGAAAGACACAATAAAGGAAAGGGACCAGGGACACCTGGTTGACTAGTCAAAGACAGGTGTATGGCCATGGTAAATGACAGCCTTCCCAATTTCTTCACTAAGAGATTTTAGGAAGGTAGGACTTCCAAATGTACTCAAAATCATAGCTTTAATTCTCAAGCTAGAAGAATTCCATTTGAAAGAGCACTCCATTGAGAGACAGTGCAGCACTGTAGTCCCAGCCGGACCTTCTAGAATGATCTTAAGCAATCATGTCACCTCCATTGCCTCCTTGCCTACATCTGTGGAATGAGGGAATTAGACTCTGTGATCCCTAAGATCTCCCTCAGTTCTAATTTTTTTATGATTCTGAACACTAAAACTAGCCATGAGGCTTTGTGTTCCAATTTGGAAATAACCACCATGAATGGCGGATCCTTGACGCAGACTTTAGCTCAGGCACTTCCACTCCTTGGAGATGCTTCTCTGCTGGGATGCTTGCTGTCGATTTCTTGGAAATGCAATTCTGGTGACCAAGAAGGAAGAAATAATCAGGGCAGGAATAAGGTCAGTAACAAAAGGAAGATGGGATTGTTTTTAAAGTGTTCAGGGCATATATTGAGTCATCCGCAAAGTCATGACGTATTTTCCTGTTTTCCTATGCAAAAAATGCATCACGACTTTTCTGATGACCCAAGGAGAAGTAAGTTTCTTGGTTGCCTGTGTACGCAGAGATGAGCAATGTGGGTTAGGTGGTTTGGTGCCATAGAACAGATGATGAGCTTGTTTCAGAAGCAGAACTGGGAGGCGCTGTTTATTGTAGATTAGCCCTGTGGACATCAGCACAATTGGATCACAGAGTCAGTTCTGAAGGTGAGGCGATTGATATTGGGAATCAGAACCCATGCTGTGGGAACAGGGAACAATATCAGGTGGAGGAAGCAGGTGTCCCAGAGTCTTAGGAGCTCACAGCAAGGCCTGACTGGAAGGCGCACTGGGATTCAAATGGCTCATCTGTACAATACCTTGTGAGTCCTTTTGTTTTGTTTTGTTTTGTTTTGTTTAATTTTATGTAAGGAGACAGGGGCAAGAAGACATGTTTTTATCATCTTAAAGGGCAAACCTTAATTTGTCATGCTTTCTTTCCTTTTATTTTTTGAAGAGGCTTTTGCTATAGGGTGCATGCACTCTCTGGAGAGACAGAGGAAGACAGAGAGGCAGAAAGCAAGAAATCAGCCCCCAGGCGAATGACCATGCCACAATCCCTTCTCCTCCCTTTTCCTCTCGGGATTTTGGGCACACACGCACATGCGCTCTGCTTGAGTTTCAAGCTCTAGGTCCAGGACTTGAACCTCAGTCGGCGATGTGGGAGTCCAGCAACATAACCATTACACCATCTGCTGGTCCCAGTTAGTCACTCTTTGAAAATGGTACCAGGATGGGGATCTGGGTTTGTGTGTTGGGGGCCGGGAAGTAGGAATACTAATGGGACTGTATTAAGGGGCCTGATGATGGCGGGGAAGTTATGGTTAGAAGAATGGGAAAGTATGTCCGAATGTTTCAGTTTTTTACTTTCAATATTTTATTTGTTTGTTTTACAGTCTTTTTCAGCTACGTCTGTGTAAACGAATGTACACCCGAAGGGCTGATTTGTCTTTTTCCCCATTTAAGAATTGGGGTTAT